ATCTCGTGTTACTAGAATGTACTTTGTTCTGTTTTATCTATAATATGGGTATGAACAAATTTTGCAACTTATAATGACAGTGCATATTTTGATTACACAATCAATGCAATCATTATATTATATTAATTTAATTAATTTAATAACTTTTTTATCATGAAACGTATAATAATATATGTAAAATAAGCTAACCACAATGTAGTTAAGATAAATAAAAAAATAAAACTAAAAAAGATAACATAAGAAGAAAATAAGAAGTATAGCGAATCGTTCGATTTCTCCAGAAAGCTTTTTAAAATACACGATTGAAAAAATTTTATAAATTTTATAGCGCTTAAATTAATAATTATTAATAATAATTATTTTGGTTTTTATTGGCATTTCAATTAGATTATTGTGCACTATTTTGAAAGAAAGAATTCTAAATAAATAAATATCAGGGATATGGTGTTTTGAATTATTTTTTTATAAATTTATTTATTAAGTTTAAGTGATATAAAATTTGCAAATGTTGTAAATTACTAAACAAGATTTATTTAAGTCAATTCTCCACAAGCTGTTATAACAACTTTTTGAGTAGGAGTGCCTGATTTTGCACCACATTTTTCCATTTTTTTTAAAACATCTAAACCACTAAGAACGTGTCCAAATACTACATGTTTTCCATCCAACCAATCTGTACGTGCTGTACATATGAAAAATTGCGATCCATTTGTATTTGGTCCAGAATTTGCCATTGACAATGTACCTGGTCCTGTATGCTTCAATTCAAAGTTCTCATCATCAAATTTATTTCCATAGATTGACTTTCCTCCAGTTCCATTATGATTTGTAAAATCTCCTCCTTGACACATCTATATTTGTATATGTAAGTGTTTATTTAACGTTACTTGCTATATAAAAGAGATTCTGATTCGTAATAAATAAAGGATACAAATTCTGGAATAATTCTATGGAAAGTACTTCCTTGATAACCATATCCTTTCTCATGAGTGCAAAGAGCACGGAAATTTTCAGCAGTCTTTGGTACAATATCAGCTCTCAGCATCATAATAATTCTACCCACTTCTTGTTTTCCAATACTAATATCAAAATATACTTGAGGATTTTGTTTTCCTTTTTTCAGTTGTATTGTATCACTTGATTTTGAATTATCGTCATTTTTAAGTGTTTCACCTGCATGCTCTTGTAACCACACATCATCAGCCCAAACAGGTTTTGATGAACCTTCTTTTATTTTTTGTGGTTTTGCAATATTTACTCTGATTGTTCGTCCAAACAGTTCAGAATCATTCTATTTATCCAAGATAAAGTTTGATAAATTTGTGGATTAAATGATTTTAAAATGATCAATACTATAATGATTAGATAAGTGGAATTAATTTTTTATACTAATGCATTCTATTGTAATGGATATAATAACCAAGTAATATAAAATTAGATATAATATACATTGTTTCTGTTAATTAACTCACGCAGATAATGTTGTTTTATATATATACCATATTATCAATTGCTGCTGCTGCATCTTCTGCACTTTCAAACTCAATGAAAGCAAATCCTCTATGCTTTTCTGATTCATAATCTAATGGTATTTGTACATCAACAATTTCTCCGAAAGGTATAAATGCTGCGTGCAGTACTTTTTCATCAACTTCTTCGGCTAAGCCTCCTAAAATTCGAAAACAATATCAAAAGAACCATATAAATTATATTAAAAATAGGTTATATCGTGATTATATTATGATTATGCAGTTAAATATAACAAGCAGTTTAAAAAATATAACAAGAACGAATTTCTGCCTACCTACGTAAATAGTTCTCTTTGTATTTGTACTCATAATGCAAATTCTTGTGTACTTTCTGTTTTATCGAATATGATATTGTAAAACACATTTAAATCAGATAATATTTTTATTGACTGAAAGACGCCGGCGCGCCGGCTACACATACTACCACAAAGTCAAAGAATAAGCTGGAATACATGTATAGGTTTAATCAGAATAGTGACAAGTTATATAAAGTCAATTGTGATAAAGCTGATAAGACGAATTTATAACGTTACTTGAAAATAACCTTTGCAATAAAACATTGCATTAAACACATAAGTTACCTTTCTTTGATGTTCTTTTATTAAAGGTAAGTGTCAGTTTGACAGTTTTCACACTAACATAATTATGTAAATTATGAAGTGAAGTAACATCACTATATAATTTTATTCATTGTTAATTCAATCATAACATTAAGAATGATTTTTATAATCAACAGTTATTATAACCAGTTTTTCTATAATTAAAATCATGGTTTTATTAAAATATAATAAAATAATATAAATTTAATATATTTTATTAAATATTTTATAGCCTCATAACCTTTCATAAATTAATTGGTTACAGATTATATATCCAACTTTCTTTAATATGCACATGTTACAAAGAAATATTTCATATTATATTCCTTTATTAAATCGATCATTGCATCTTCTAAGAGATCAAGGATATATCAATGGAAAGTGGATAGGAGGGAGAAAAAATGAGACATTTCCTATTTATAATCCAGTTGATCAATCTGTTATTAACAATGTACCTGATATGGATATAAAAGACACAAGATTAGCAATTAATGCAGCATTTGAAGCTTTCAAATCATTTAGTAAAACAACAGCAAAGGAACGAAGTGATTTACTTAGAAATTGGTATAATTTAATGGTAGAACATACAGAGGAACTAGCAGAAATTTTAACTAAAGAAAATGGAAAATCTATTGCAGAATCTAAAGCTGAGATCAAATATGGAAATTCATTTGTTGAGTGGTTTTCGGAAGAAGCTAGAAGAATTGAAGGAACAATATTGCAAACACCAATATCTAATAGAAAACTTTTGCTATATAAAGAACCTATAGGTGTTGCTGCTTTAATTACACCATGGAATTTTCCACATGCTATGATAACACGTAAAGCAGCTGCAGCTTTGGCTGCTGGGTGTACATGTGTAATTAAACCATCAGAAGAAACACCCCTTACTGCTTTGGCATTAGCTGATCTTGCAGAAAAAGCAGGTTTTCCTCGTGGAACAATAAATGTAATTACAACCAGTTTAAAAAATTCTCCTAATGTTGGCAGGGAATTATGTGAAAATCCTAATGTAAAAGTTTTATCATTCACTGGTTCAACTGCTGTTGGGAAAATTTTGTATAAACAAAGTGCTTCAACTATAAAGCGACTTTGTCTTGAATTAGGAGGTAATGCATCATTTATTGTTTTTGATTCTGCAAATTTAAATATAGCTGTACAAGGTGCTATGTTAAGTAAATTTCGTAATTGTGGTCAAACATGTGTTTCTGCAAATAGATTCTTCGTACATAGTAATAAATTTGATCAATTTATAGAAATGTTTTTATCAAAAATTCAAAGTGAAATTAAAATGGGTGATGGTAATAAGAAAGAGGTTACACATGGGCCTCTCATTAAAGAAAGTCAGTTAAATATGATTCATGCATTAATTACTGATGCTGTAGAAAAAGGAGCAAAAGTGCATTGTGGTGGTACACCATTGCCTGAATTAGGGCCACTATTTTATGCTCCCACACTTATAACTAATGTTACTAAAGAAATGCAAATATATAACAAGGAAATTTTTGGCCCAATAGCTGTTATTCATAAATTTGAAACCGAAAATGAAGTTATAGAAAATTCTAATAATACATCTGTTGGATTAGCTGGATATTTTTACTCTCAAGATATATCGCAAATATTTAGGGTAGCAAAACAATTAGAAGTTGGAATGGTTGGTGTAAATGAAGGAATAATCTCCACAGCAGAAGCTGCTTTTGGAGGTGTAAAAGAATCAGGTTTAGGAAGAGAGGGTTCTAGACATGGTGTTGAAGATTTTCTTGAGATAAAATATGTATGTCTTGGAAATCTTAAGTATCATTGAATATTTGATTAAGCAATTTATTTGAATTTTCTAGTACAATAATATTAAAAGGATATTAGATCCTAAAAAGTATTAATTTAATCATTGAATTTATTTATCATTTGATTTTAATATTTACTTGAACGAAATTAATTATATTTAAGTTAAAAAATGCTCAGTAATAATATATTGTTCAGTAAAAATAGGTAGATTTTAAATATCTTTTATATAAAATTAGGATTAATCTACAATTTATGAAATTGAATGTCTTCCAATAGTTTATAAGTATATATTAATATTACGAGTAAGTAGTGAAATATAAATATAATGCATTTTTATATATTTCTTCTTATATTTTATTAATTTTTGTGCCATACACTTAGAATAAAAGATTTATGAATAAAAATAATGATATATATAATATACTAATATATAAATGAAATTTTCATTTTATTTGCAATTTGAAAAACATGAATTGACTGAGAATATTGTTTTCCAAAACATATTTTCCACAATAATAATATAATATTTATGTAAAAGGATAAGAAATTGTAAAAATATACAATCATATTTTTGAAATAAAGTTGTATTCACAATATGTAATAGTAAATACACATACGGTAAAACGTTAGATATTTGTAATTAATAAAGACACAATAACCAGAATAAAATTGTGATGAGAATGTCAGCAATTTTTAAGTCCATGTTTTTGAATATATCTTTCCCTAGCTTCCCTTATCATTTTAATTTTTCTTTCCTGAAAGGAAGAAGATCCTGCATTACTGTTATCCTTAACTGTACTTTTTTGTAATTGATTTAATGATGCTGATTGTGTAACAGTTTGAGATGAATCTGGAGTATAAGTAACTATGCCATCCAATATATTGGCAATTGTTATATCAACATTGCGTGTTTTTACTGAAATAAACATAATAAATTAGAAATTTAAAGAAGAAGAGAAAGTAATAAATATAATGTGTGAAAATTAATAGTAGTTATTTGTTTAACATACAAAGATCTCTCAAAATCACATTATGAGGGACTAATGGAAGCACTTCACTGACTTGTCGAACCATCCTCTGTATTTCAATATTATGAACTTGCGAAGTTGGAGAATTTCTATTAAATCTTCTACTTTGTGTTCTTTCCATAATATAGCGTTTTTCAAGTTCTTTTTTATCTAATACAGTATGAGAAGTTGTTTGAAGTCCAAGACTAGTTGCTATGTCCTTTTCTACTTCCCGTACTAGTATTTCACAATTTCGATTTTGTTTGATTTTCAGGTACTTAATTGTGAAGACTGTATAAGGGACAAACATGAACCAAAAAATATCTATCCATCGTCTAGATGCCAATGAGGTAAGATGAATGGGTATGAATTCTGGCCTCCATGCTTTAATTGTAACTGGTTGAACAGATGCTTCTATGGTAAATGGCCAAGAATTGAACATTAACAAGGCTACACGACTATTGGTTGTAGCAAATTCAGGTTGTATTGCAACAGTGTAATTTGTTGTAGAAAGAAATTGTTTCACATTGGCAATTAAAGTTTCTTTGTTACTCATATCCATCACTTGTAATCCTAGTGCATTGGTCATGGCAGTAGGTATCTCCCACATAACAGGACTTAGTGCTTGTGTAGCTTTATACAAAGCAAAATGATCCAATACAGAGATATTATTACTAATTATAATCCTTGATTGCTTGTCTCTAACTTCACCTTCAGATATCTTCGTCAGTATACCAAAAACAAAACTAAATCCATGATGTAAAAATTTCCGAAGAGTGTTACAATCAGGTAATAATATTGCAATAAGCCAAAGTTGTAGAGCAATCAACAATCGTAATAGTGCAAGTACAAGACCCAATGGGATATATAAAAATATAGGTGCAAGACGCCAACCACTGGGAAACCTAAATAATATATTTAATTTAAAATTAATTATTAATACCAATATTGAATTAATTATTTATGTTAATATTTAAAATATATAAAATATTTTAATTAACAATTATTTTTTCATTAGTTATCATTAATTTTTTATATCTATGTTGTTATAAATCAAATATATATAACAAGCCATGTATAATAAAAATATATTTTTAACTATTCTTATGCAACATTATTATATATAAAAGAGTTCTTCACATATATTACAACTTAATATCAATATCATATTTTTATATTAGTGAAAATATCGTGTAGAAATTGTAGGTTTCATATTTTAGTTATAAAATATTATCTAAATAATATTTCACATATTTATACAGTATCCATATGTTAATAACAAAAGATCCGTACATTAATAACAACGAAAAAAATAACATATATTAATATCACTATAAAAAATTAAATTATACTTGCTTAAAGAATTATTCACAATGCGTTACAAATTTATTGTTTACAAATGATTACTTTACCTGCTTTTATCGAATAAGTCCTGGATATCAATTTGTGACATTTCTCACAATAAACATCTGTTATGTTGAAAAATTCACACTTAACAATTGTATATCACTGAAATAATCACAATCTTTTATTGAAATTTAACAATAACGTAATTTATATTTGACCTTTTTTAACCTACTTTTCAATAGCTTTTCAATTAATATGAATTTTGGTTTTCATGAGTTACTGTAATCAGCTGTTTTGACATAAACGTTCTAGGGATTTTTATTCTAGGATCAAATATAACTATAAAAATCGTACATAATGTTTCTATTTTGGTTTGATCTTCGTTACTTTATGTCTAGATGTAGCTACATAAAATAAACTTTAATTGCGTTCTAAATAGCAAATGAAAACTTATTTAGTAGAATTGAGTTATTATTGTATGTTCTTTATTATTGTACGTTTATTAATATTAAACTTTAAAGTTTAAAATGCCTTTTTTGTTTTATATTATATAAAATGATGAAAATATATTAATAATAATATAATATACAAATATTTTCACACTTATGATTAAAAATGAAAAAGTTATTGTATGTGTATATTATCAGTTTAACAATGAGAAATGATAAGGCAATCACGTGATTCCGCATTGTGTAGTGGTAAAGATCAGTAACCACGCACGAGAAAAATTTTCTTCATACTTCATTATATCAAAAAATTAGAATATTTTTCTTTAAATTAGAACATTATACATATACAATATAAAATATTAGTTTACCATGTACATAGATCAAAGAAATATACAGTCTGTTTCGTGTAATATTGAATGTACATATATTTGTCGATTTAAAGTCAGTGTTAAGTTTCGAGTACAGCATCACAGTATAATTATGTTAAATATTCATCAACAGTAGACTTTAAACACTACGTATGTTACTGGCTTTGTGTGAAAATTAAATCTACCTTTTTATAATCCCTTGTAATGTATTGAACTCAACTGAAAGAGTATGAAGATTAAAGGCGTTTTTTCACATTACGAAAAATTTGTTTGTTAAAAATATCTAAACGTGCAAATTTACTTTTTATGACAGAATAAAATTCACAGAGTAAAGATCATTATATATTAATGGAAACTCCTATAATATAACAACTATATCAAAAGGGGTAGATTTTATATGTGGATGTTATTTTATCGCAACACCGATATGCTTGCGAATATCAACGATGTATATATATATAACGTTATTAAAAAGTAATGAAAAAAATATGCATAAATACAGATCTACAGATATTGTATATGAAAACTCTTATTGGTTCGCTTCGATTGGGAAAACATTTAATACATCGATAAGGTTAGAAAAGAGGCATCAATCATGAAGAGTCCTATATCTAATCATTTGAATGGGAATAATCATCATTCTATCTCATCACAAAATGTATCTCCATGTATTGTGTCTCGTTACGGAAATATGTCTAACAATTATCAAGTACTGAAAGTTGCTGGACGAGATTCTAACTGTTATATTGCAAATAACATTGTCCCAAAAATTGGTAAACAGCAGCTGGTGTCATTGAATGGAACTTCTATATCCTGCAACAGTGTGAATATCAATGAAGCTTTGGCGTGTGATGTATCTTCTATGCCTACTGTAAAAACTAAGGCATTATGTGTCCATATTCGAGAGAATAAATGGTACGATGCTGGTAATGTAGTTTCTGTAGGAGTTGCTGGGACTAGTTTAAATCATGCATTGGAAAGTATGTCTCTAGCTTATAATCCCACTACAAAGCAAATATATTCTTTAGAGGAATCTAATGAATCACAATTGGATTCTAAATCTCAGTATTTAGATTCTCCATGTGATTATAAAGAAGAATCTTTAAATGATAATTTCAAGGTTGATGAAGATAAATATATAAGATTAGAAAGTGGTAGTGCAAACAGTAGTCCTAGGAATAGTCTACCACGTTCTTGTAGCAGTACAGTGTCTTCCCTTAGCGAAGTCTCTCCTTCTGGAAGTTTTCTGGGTTGTGATGATCAACAAGTTACAGAAAGGACTGAGAAATCTAAGCGTTGGGGACTGAACACAATTTTTTCAAAGAATGTATTTTCATGGAAAAACAAAGATTCTCAACAATCCACACCTACAAGCAGCCCATCAAGAAATGTAGACAAAGTAGGAGGAAGTTTAGCTTTAATCCAACAGCCAAGACCAGCTAATCTGCCAGCTAAAAATGCAGTTGAAGAAGAACGTCATCGCAAACAGTATAGTGCTATTTTAGAAGCAGCGAGGAAAAGAGAATTAAAAGAAGAAAAGGAACGTAAACAGCAAAGAGAATTGCAACTTAAGGAAGAAGAAAGATTAGCAGAAGATTCTCATACTTGGAACGTACATATTCTTCCTAAATTTGAAAGTGTTAAAAATACAAAAAAAGTACGTGAATTATGGTGGCGTGGTCTTCCACCTAGTGTCCGTGGCAAAGTGTGGAAATTAGCAATTCCAAATAACTTGAATATAACAACACATCTTTACAATATATGTTTGGATAGAGCAATATCAAGTCCTATAAGTGAAACATTAGCTGCAATCAAATTAGATGTATCTCGTACTTTTCCTACTTTATGTGTCTTTCAAGAAAATGGACCATTATCTAATAGTCTTCAAGGTATTTTAGCCGCCTATGCAGTTTATAGACCTGATGTAGGTTATGTACAAGGTATGAGTTTTGTGGGTGCAGTATTATCATTAAACATGGAACCTCCAGATGCCTTTACCTGCTTTGCTAATTTACTAAATCATCCTTGTCACAGAGCTGCTTTTACATTAAATCAGAAACAAATGGATATTTATTACAAGGTATATTCTAGTGCACTTGCACATAAGTTACCAAAAATTTTTTCTCATTTTACAGTAGCTGGTCTTAGTCCAGATTTATATTTGTTAGATTGGTTATATACTATATATGCTAAGGCAATGCCTCTGGATGTTGCATGTAGAATTTGGGATGTTTTTCTTAGGGATGGGGATGAGTTCCTCTTTAGAACAGCACTTGGCGTGTTGCATCTATATCAAGAAGAATTATTAAAGATGGACTTTGTACATGGAGCACAATTTCTTACTAGATTGCCAGAAACTTTACAGGCAGAAGCTCTATTCAACAGTATTAGTCAAATGTCTACTACTGTTGGAACAACAACGTTCCAACAAATGTTAGTTCAATTTTCTTCATTGTAATTTTGTAAATTATAATGAAGAATATAGAATGGTAGTCATATTTATAAAAAAAGGATAAATCTCAAATACTATTTTTGTTAGTGCAATCAGTAAAATATATTCTCTATGCTGGAAATTTAAATATTATTTATATAAATTAAAAAATATATATATAATAAAATTTGCATAAATTTTATATAATTTCAAAATATAATTCATTTTACTTTTCTAAATAAACATTGGATATTTTTTCAAAAAGATTTATTTACAATGAGTATTTCATTTTATATTAAATTTTACTATATGAATTATAATACTGAATAATGTAACATTTAAAACATAAAGAAAGCAAGAGCTTCCCATATTTTAATAAGTTAATTGTGTAATGAACAAAATATGTGAATGTATTCTCCTATGAATGAAAAGAAAGAAAAAAATTAAATATTAACAAAATTGGACATAAATTTGATAAATATGTATATATTTTATATTTCCAAACAAAGAATTAAGATATATATATAATTTCTAAGGTACTTTTATGAAACTTAAAAAAAAACAAAATTATTAACAACTGAGGTTAACTTATTTTTATTTTTATATTTGCAATGTTTTTATTTTATTGAAGAACAAAATTCATATATCTATTTCATACTTTTGTCTTATTTCATTATTACATATTATTTATAGTGATATGATATACATATATATATATGAAAGTGTGCTATGATTAGGACTGTCATTTGTAGAATCATAATATAGGACAAAGAGCATTAAAACCCAAACATTTGCTTCTGAAATCCGGATACTTTAAGCATTTTTGTGCTTTAAATATTAGAATTTCAATATTGCACGTTATCATGAATATGTGATACGATAGAGACTGCACTCATTCAGACTGAGTTTGGGTCTAGACTATTTCTAATGCGTCTGATAAAAATAGAACACTTAAAAATCGGATAAATCTGGAAAAATCCGGACAAATGACAGATCTAACTATGACATATATCATTGCACTATAATTTGAATATTTTGAAGTATCTTTCACAGATACTAGATCTCAACTGCAATATATATCTTAGAAAATAATCTGATATGTTTAAATATATTCTCATGAACAAGCAAAATATTATATACTCTTATATTATTATAAATGAGCAAAATATTGTTTGAAAATGCCTGAATGCTTATTATATCAATAATAAATGCATTAATAAATATAACATAAATAATAAAATTATGTGCCACATAATATATATGTATATTTAAAAAATATATACAGTTAATTTCGATCTTGGATTCAAAAACTGACTGGTGCAAATACAACTGTTGAAAAGTAAATAAATAATTAAGATATTTTTTTCAGATATATGATTTAATATACAATATTATATCAATACATTTTCTAAGCTTTATGATACTCGATATAAGAAAATTGTCCATCATATTTGAATCAAGAGATTCAAATTTCACTATACTTTCATAATAATAGCAAATTAACTCATTATAAGTAATGAATGACATTAACTTTAAGGGTGTTAAACTATATGATGGATTAAGCAGTCTCTGAATATATCAGGATTAAGCAATCTCTGAATATATATAAAATTATATTACAGATTTATCTATTTAAAAATAATATTTCAAGAATTATAACGATCTATAATATCTATTTAGAATTATTTTATTCATAAAATTTTGTTTTGTTTATTATTGTAATTATATGGATTGTTTTATTACGTTATTTATTTATAAGTATAAAAATGAATGATGAAGCAAAAATTAAGTTTACTATATGCAAAAAAATATGGTAAATAGAATTTTGCAGTATTAATATTAATTTAAATAATTCGGATATTCATTTATTTTAGTAAATATATTATTTGTTTAAAACTATTATTTTTATATAAAATTTTAAGTGACCTTTATGATAAGAGGAATATGTTCAAACTTACGAATTTATAATTTTTCTAATTATTAAGCTTCATCAGAAACGAATTTCAAAAACATATTTTTTTAAAACTTAGCTATTGTAAGCTTATTGTATGTGCTTGTTATATAATTTTGTTTATAAAATAATTTTTTTATTCGTGTTATGCTTTTTGTTTGAATTCTAATACTAATACTAATAGTATACTGAAAATAGTATGCAAAATATTATATAGCTAATATTAGTGTTAAACAAATTATTATATTTCATTATATAGACATTTCCAAATACACAAGCACATTGCAATAACTTTGCTTATAGCATGGCTTAAAGCTTTAGATAGATCATGAACATTATACAATTATCTGAAAATATAATAACATCCAAAATATATGACAATTAATGATGATAATATAGTGATAATATAATTGCAAAATATATGGTAGTTAATGATAATATAAAACATTATAAAATTATATTGTCTGACTTCGGCTTTTTTTCATCTTTTTTTTTATAAAAGAAAATTTCAATGAACAACTCAGAATACGAAGAATAGTGGAAAATGAAATATAAACACGAAATCTCCTAGAAACCAGTGATATTCTAATTTTTAATTGACAATACTCTTATTCCATCCACTATTCAGATTAATTGATTAATTACTCAACGATTTAGCGTTCGCTAATAGATAAGCTAATTTACATTATCAAATACAATTATAAATATAGGCACAGGTTGGGGAATAACAAAATAATATAAAACTATACGGAAATAAGTATAATTATATTACAGTATATTTGCTTTTTGTATATGTAGTGCAACACACTTGTACATTTACGTGTAATAATCGATAAATTCTATTTATGAAGCACATCGATAAAAAAAAAAATAATCCTTTTCAAATACATGGAAAATACATAATTATATTTAATTACTTCTTCCCGAGAATTATGATTTAAGATCTGTTTCACTCAAACTTTTGTTCCTTCAATGTCATCAATGTTATAATTCGTTCGATACTTTGAATTATTAAGTCACTAATAAATTTATAATATATTGAGTATACGTATAAAATATGTTCGTACTAATGTATTCTTAATCTTTCACGATTTTCTCTCTTTCTCACGTAGATTAACGTACAATACAACAAACACATAAACGTGTGTTTCCATTTCTACAAGTATATAATGACGTGCCAACCGCTTAATGGTTGTACTAATAGAAAACAAAAGAATTATTCTCTGTGTACATGTTGTACTATCACGTCTCGTCTTTTTTTTCCAATTATCACGATAGTTTTAGGTGGCTATCGAAATATATTTTCTTTAGGGAATCTTGTTACTTCATGCCTTCTTAATTACACGTCCTATAATCTAGTTGTAATTATAGGACCAATTAGTTAAATTAGCTTAAATACAAAAACTGGGTGTATGTGTACCGTATGTAAATGTGTTGTAAGCTTTATGAAATATATTGAGATACATGTGGGTGTATCTATAAATGTTATGTAAATATTAAACTTTTATGAAGAATCATATCTTTAACATTTCACATATTATATTTATTATCTTAGTGACGTCAAAAATAAAGAAACACTAACTTGTTAAGTATCATTTTAAATGTGTACAACTTTATTGTATTATTCGTCAGTATTAAGAAAAGTGGTTCAACGAAGCAAACAATCATTTTGTCGAATATTTACAGAAGAAATCTCATATATCTGATATTATAATTAAATTTGATTAGTAGACAAATGTTGATATATTGGAACTGGAACATATGTGATCGTATCTGTGTATTGAAAAGTAATCGTTATCGTTATACCTACACGTATCTTATGCCCTTAATTTCATTATCTAACAGAAATTAAGATTGAAATGCCTAACACGTGATATGATAAAAAAAAAAAAAAAGCAGAATTTTCTGAGTGCGAAATTGGATATGAATGAACGAACAATTACGTATGATCTGTATGCGACACTTCTGTGTTCCTTGTCGTTAGTGCCTCTCGATAGAGGAACTCATATTTTTTACGCGTTTTATCATGTACATTTACCTTAAGTGCGATATCCTAATATATATTTTGTAAAAAATCGAACTCGGTATTTATTTTGTGAAACGTGCACATCGATAATGATGTAAAACTTGTAGCTAGTTGTGTCACTGTGTAAAGGGGCTGTCATGACATTTTAACATGGACAACTTAAACCCCTTTCGCAGGCACTTGAAAATTATCGAGAATGAACAAATTTCAAGTATATACATATTTTAAAGAAAATTTCATAAATGATTTTACTTGAAATTTTCATACTCATGTCTCTTCAAATATATTTAATATCAATAATATGAAAAATATTTTGTATATAAGGGCGTGCTTGCTTCGAAATTCAAGGATGAGAGATAAAAACTCGAGTCTATTTATTGCAATGGTGTAATAACAGTTTTTATATCGTGTAATGGACGACAGTGGAATTATATAAATGTACGTGTATATTATACTCCAAATGATGCCAGCGACATATCTCAATGGATCATTTTTGTTCGCATACGAATAAAATTACACTTTAAAATATAATGTGTCGATATAACTGTCCTTTCCAAATTTCTACACACACAAGTGAGAAGTATTTTTATTGATATACATCTGAGGTATTCCTTTCCTAATTTCATAAATTTCTATTATTAATTTGATAATTTTCTAAGCACACTATAATACAGACTTAGAAGCACGTGCACATTTGTAATAAATTATAGATTTTCTTATTTGTTTTTTATTTTTTATTAAATCTGCTAATTTATTAACACGGATAATTTATTAGCTTTAACAGCTTGTTGCGCTGAAATTTGAAAGAAATATAGAGGGTGGAAAGATTTAACGTTTTTCTAATAGGTGGCGGTACTTTCAATTACGGTCACACGAATTAGTCGAAATTGTACGCATGTTCTCGCTTGTATATGCTTTCTCGTTTTAATCATATTTTTGTGTTATATTTTGTGTTGATAAGTTGCGTAGTTAATCAGAAAAGAAACATTTACTTGCTTGTTAGATGTAAGTGAATTAGAATTAACATTTGGAATTAGAATTTACATATTATCAATTTCGAGATTTACATGTTACAGTATATAATTTCAAACTCGTTTTTATCCGCTGTTTACGGATATAAATCACAACTTTTATACTTGCAGCATTTCCCCAACAGATGGCAGCACTTTCAACTACGGTCGCACGAATCAGTCGCAGTTAGACTTGCGCGTTTGCTTGCGTAAGCTTCTTTAACTTTTCATTTCAATTATATTTTCGTATTAATGAGAGAATAATTAATCGAAGAAAAAACGTTACTTCCTTCGTTACACGTAAGTGAATCAGATTTAACATTTAAGTTACACAATATCGTTTAGAAACTTATATATGCATTTATTGCAAAGTGTAATTTCGAATTCGTTTTATTGCTAAATCATAATTTCAAATCGTAACCTACAAACTACAATCAATATATATCATTGGAAATACGTGCAAATCGTATGATATATTCTTTATCAAGACAGTATCTCATTGTTCATAAATAATTAATTTTCGACAGATAAATTTTGGGGAAAAAGACGCAATAAACGATGGAGCTTCTCTGCATTCCAGTGTCCCTGGTTCGAACAAAGGGATCTTTAACCTTGACGCTGCTTTGCCAGAGAATGTCGTAAGTCACATGCATATACATTTTTACATGTTTACTTACTAATGTACCGTAGTATAGATATTCGATGTAACGTTGAAACGTGTTGTAAGATATGTATTCCCAATTGTCTCTCATCGAGAGAGCAATTCATCAATTATTCTCTCCGCGACGAATATGCATATAGTATCTTGTCAGCGATGATTATAAACATGCGGTATGTATGGTTGAACCGCGTGATGATTTAGCATATCCCTGTACGAGTTTTGCCCCTGCAAAACAATGTTACCTCCGAGTCATGGGGACTTCAGGCACCCCAGTTAGAAACGAAGTCAATAAATTAGGGGAGTTAATCCCATCCAAAACGGAATATGATTTAATGTAAGGTAGACTACGCTCACATCACAAGTTTTTAGGCAACGAACGTTAAACAAAGCGGACCTGTAGAGTCCCTTCCCTTCTTCCATCGACGGTGAATGTTTTTGGAATTAATGTGCTCGAGTTTCAAAGTAGGTCGACCGGGGATCAGATGATTGAATACTCGAACATCATTCTATGGATTTATATAACGGTTTTTATATTTTGACCATTAAAAAAAGCTTCATTAGAATAAGGAATTAATTATTTCAATAAGAAAGCGTCGAATTTTTGAAAGATTTCTTCTTTCGCAAAAATAGACCTATTAAATAATATTTAATTATAAATTTAATTATAATGATATTTAATTATAAATAAAAATAATATTTAATTATAAATTTCAGTGTTGAAAATACTGGATGAT